GATTATTTCTTTGTCTGATTATTTCTTTGTCTGATTATTTCTTTGTCCAGATTTTCAGGAACATCACAGGTAAGCTCTGCTCCTCTAAGTTTGAAAATCTCTGCTGGAATCTCTTCGACAACTTTTCCATTCTTCAGATGTCTAATGACAACTCCAACTTCTGTCACACTAGGTGAGAGTTCAAAACCATCTTTGATGGGAAGTGGAGGATTTCCTCAAACATGGCCTCATCGGTTGTATTATGGTTTAGGAGTTCTTTTGAAGTGTTCTTTCCATTGGAGGCTTATGATTTTTCTGTCTCTCAAAAGGGTTCCATCCTTACTTTGCACCGGTTTAAGGCCAAGAGTGTTGGTCCTTATGTTGCCTTGATGGCACTGAAGAAACCCCAGATTATTGTGCTTGTCTACAAGGAGTTGCAGCTCCTTAGCTTTCTTGGTCCACCATTCTTTCTTGATTTCCCTAGTTGTTCTTTGTAACTCCACCTTTGCTGTTTGACGAGATCTCCTCTTTAGCTCACTAGTGATTTTGTTTTGTCAGGCATGGAGAGTTTTACTGTTTCTGTCAATGAAGTCTGGATGATGTGGTCATTCTTGTCGAACCAACCTTGGTGTTTCCTGGTCTTGTAGCCAATGGTTTCTGCACGGCATGAATTAATGGCTGTCTTCAGCTCTTTCCAGAATTCCTCCACTCCCTTAATTTAAGTATTTGGAGATTTCATAAAGACATTTTTTGCAGATCCACTAGTCTGCGTGGCTCTTGAAGCTGCTGAATGTTGAACACTTTTTTCTGAACTGTTTTGTCTTCAGCTGCTTTAGTGACATTAGATGACCGTTGAGGAGCAGATGAGCTAGTGCTCTGTCCAGCAGTCATCTGCATTGGTCATTTCTTTCATAATGAGGACGTCCTTTAGGTCTCAGGATTAAATGATAACATAGTTGATCATGTGCCAGTGGCTTTGATCATGGATGCCTCCAAGAAGTCTTGAACTTGTCTTTTTGGCGAAACAGTATATTGGTGATGGCAGAAACCAAGAAAAATATGACACCAAAGTGGCTTGTGGAATTTCAGTATGTGGATGACAGTGTCATCTCTGCTCCGTCGGAAGAGAATCTTCAAGCCTCACTCTATGTCTTTATGGAAGCATACCAAAAAATGGCATCAGTCTCAACCGCAAGAAGACTTGAATCCTATACCAACCTTTCCCAGGATAAGTTCTGGTTCGTCGCTCCATTAAGATCAATGGAGAAATCTTTCCCTGGGAAGCTACCTCACATCGAAGACTGACATCGATGTGACAATTCAACGTTGCATCCAATCTGCAAGCACTGCCTTCAGATGCCTAAGGATGTAAGTCTTTGACAGCCGTGACATCCATGTTGATAGCAAGGTCCATGCGTATTATGCAGTCATCTTTCCAAATCTTCTAGATGGCTCTGAAACTGCTACCTCAGGACACTTGAGAAGTACCACCAATGCTACTTAAGATGGATTATTCACATAATCTAGGAGGACGGGCATACTAATATCAGCATTCTTGAAGCAGAAAACAGCACCAATGTCAAGACCATGATCATCCAAACCCAACTCTGTTGAGCTATCCATGTGCTTAAGATGCCCAAGTTCCGACAGCCAAAACAAATCATCTTCACCCAGCTCGAGGAAGTCAAGGAAGCATCAAAAAGACTCCCTGAAGGCTTTCCTCAAGGATGTGATATAGATACCAACACATGGCAGACCCTTGTTCAGAAGAAACTGAGGAAGCCACTGTATGAAGAGAGACAAATCTGTGAGAACACCAGGCAGCAAGGGTAAGTATGGAAAATGAACCGGAGAAAGGAATGCCAATGAACTCGAGGCCATGGACCAATTCAACCTCCCAGAAATACCTGGAAATGTGATGTTGGAGATGCGGCTCTAGAATCAAGCTCATCAGCCTACAAGGACACAGAACCAATGACCAGTGGCACAGACTTTCTTAGGTGGACAATCATGTTTGTTAGTTATTGATTGCTGATGATAATGGCAATTCCAGGTATAGTCTGACTTGTGCTTTGTATAGCTTTAGCAAAACCATTCTACTTTCATACTCCAATCATTTTGAAATAAAACCTAATATTCTATTTGCCTTTCCTGTCACCCACTGAACTTGGAAGCTAGCTTTTTGTGATTCATGGATGAGGGCCCCCATGTCCCTCTATTCTGTAGCTTTCTGCAATCTTTCTCCAGTAACATAATATTCAGTGCCTCTATTCTTTCTGCTGAAGTGCATAACCTCACATTTTCCCAAATTATTTTCCATCTTCCATGTTTTTGCCCACTTGCTTAACCTGTCCTTATCCCTCTGCAGAATCTGTGCCATCCTTAGCTCTTCCCTTCCCAACTATTTTGTGTCATCTGCAAACTTCACTTTTCCAAATTCAAGTCATGAATATTATATACATTATTAGTAATTGTGGCCTCAGCACTGATTACTGTGGCACTCCACTAGCTATAGGATTGATCCTGAAAATGCTCCTCCTATCCCAACTCGACCTTCTAATAGTTAGCCAATGCTCTATCTATTATCACCTCAACAGCATGGCCACTTATTTTATTAAGTAGCCTAGCATAATATCTTATCAAACGGCTTCTGAAAATCCAAGTATTGCATGAACTGCTTCTCCTTCATCTAACATGCTTGTTACCCTCTCTAAGAATTATAATAAATTTGTTTGTCTTGATTTTCCCTGTGAAACCATGCTGACTCTGTTTGATCAGATTATATTTTTCTAAATGCCCTGCTATTCCATCCCGTATAATAGACTGTAGCAATTTCCCAATAACAGACATAAGCTAACTAGCCTATAGTTACCTGTTTTTTGTCTCCTTCCCTTTACAAATAA